GAACTCAAAAGGAAGGAAAGTCACAATCATAGAATACTGTGCTGCGCACCTACAAATAATGCAGATGAAGAGAAGAAGGAGGAATTCGATAGACTACTGCAATCAATACTGGACAACACCCCAACTCAGTTGGCAACATCAAAATTCTAATGAGTGGGGTGACATGAATGCCGGAATGGGAGCAGACAACACAAGAAGAGAACTCATCCATTATGGGTCGAGAGACACTCGGTGAAATGAACGAGAATGGAGAACTGTTTGGAGACTTCTAGACATTTAATGATTTGGTGATTGTAGGTAGAGTGTATCAACACAAGGATATTGACAAGGCAGCGACGTGGATTTGATTTCACCAGATGGACACACTACACTGAAAATCAGATCGACTTTATCTGAATCTCGAGAAAGTGGAGATAGAGAGGCAGCCTACTGGACACAAGATGAAGAAGGGGAGCAGATGTAGGTGGTTCACATCACTCACCACAAAATCAAGTTGAAAGTCTTCAAAGAAGTTGGTGATAGACTACAGTTGAAGTTCAACACGCAGAACAGAAAGTGAACTGAAGGACGAAACCACAAACGATATCTTCCTGTCAGTCAGCCATCAGAACGAAATGGGAGACATTAAGCGAAATTCCCGAGGAAACCTGCATGGAAGCACACTGGAACTCTTCGAAAGAGACGTGGGAGGAGACCTGCATAACCATGTTAGGAAGGAAGAAGACAAGGAATGGATCCCGACGGAGACATGGAAGCTGATCGAGGAGGTAGAGGAAGATGGTGAAGCAGCAGGTGAACCAGTGCTGTGCAGTGCAGTGCAGGGATGAATAACGAAAAAACGAACTGAATACAATATATAAAGGACTACACTGGACAGGGAAGTGAAGAAGAGTGCGCGAAAAGACAAAAGACACTTCTATGACACACTGTCAAGTGAAGCAGTGTAGGTTGCAGGTAAGAGAGCCAGAGAACTGACAATGTTATATCTAATAACCAGGTTACTATCTAGGATGGAAGCCATCAACTCAGATGAAACCAATGAAAGATAGTGAAGGTAACTTAGTTACCAAAGCGGAGAAAGAAGGGAAACGATCGGTTGACCACTTAAGAACACTCATGAAACGACGATGACGACGACGACGACCACCACCACCACCACGTGCAACTCGTCCAGAAATACTATCAGCAGTGAACACAAGCCCTCCGACAAAAGCAGAAGTGAATTTCTGAACTCCATAATGTTGCTGAAATCCAGGAAAGCAGCAGTACCGGATGGAATTCCGACAGAAGCACTGAAAACAGACACAGAGACAGCAGCGGACATGCTCACACCACTATTACAGAAGGTTTGGAAGAAAAGAAGGAAGGATGCCTGCCAATTGATTGGAAGAAGGGCTACCTTATCAATGGACTCTCAATGAAGGGCAACCGAAGTCTTTGTGTGAACTGGTGCGGAATCATGCTCCTGTCCACCCAAAGCAAGCAAAATATTGGGCCCCATCATGCTGGAGAGACGAGAAATGAGCTGGACTCAAAATTATGACCGAAGCAGGCTGGCTAGTTGGCTTCAGGAAGAACAAATCATATGCGGATAAAATCGCAATGCTAAGCATCATCATAGAACACAGCGTAGAATAGCAGTCAACTGGATCTTTACTTCAACTTCATCGATTTTGAAAATGCCTTCGACAGCGTCGACCAAGAAGTAATTTGTCAGGCTGCTGCCATAAACCTTTATCAACCTCATTCAACAGCAGCTATATGCTATATGATGGTGCATGCTGAGTAATTGACATTGGAAAGCTCAGTGGTGCCTTTTGAGTGAGGACAGACGGGAGTAAGACAAGACAGGGTTGCCGCCTACTATCACCGATGATCTTCCTGATTGTGGTGGACTAGACTCTAGTGGATCATGCAGCGGTTAACTGTGAGAAGCGAGGGGACGAGCATACGCTGATTAGAACGATAAAAAGACCCCAAAAGGAGATTTGGATTTCGTCGATGATGATGATGATGATTTATGTCTAATATCCAACGTCACATAAACTTGAAGATCTACAAGGGAAAACCAACAAGTTGGCAGTTGAGGCGAGGCAAGACGAGGCGGGGCAGCGATGACGGGACTTCTTTCAGGTGAACGTAGAGAAGACAGAGCTGATGAAGATACCCAACCAACAAAAACAAGCACCAATCACCGTCAACAGTAGGGATCTAAAGGAAGTTGTCTCTTTCACCTACATAAGCAAGGCAGCATCGTTTCAACTACAGACGCCACAGGCACAGATGAGGATATCAAGGCTAGGATCGGAAGGACAGTAGGGCAGGCATTCATTAAGCTGGAAATATCAGTGTGGAAATCTGCTACACTGCACTGCACTCAGCATAAAGCGTGAACAACATCCGGATTTCAAACACTGATGTCAGTCAAGTGACTCAGTGCTTCTATGTGATGGTTGAGAGACTTAGCGCGTTACGAAAAGCATCTCCAACGAACTACAGACATAAGTTATCAATGGCTGCTGCCTACACTCGATACTGAAGATCACATAAGATGGCCAGAATACTAAGAATAAGCAACAAGGGACTCTGGCTGGCTGGCAACGAACTAATCAACAACCGATTGCCCAACAAATATGCAGTAGAAGAAAGTGGAGATTGATTAGATTAGATTCGATTGGATTGGATTAGACATACACTGAGAAGACCATTTGTGGACATGACGCGTCAGGCTAGGCCAGACCAGGCCGTCGAGTGGAAGCCAAATAGGCAATGACGAGTTGGGCGTCCCAGCTGAGGGTGACATGGATGAGATTGTTTGGGGAAGAAATGAAAGCTTGTGGGTAGTCGTGGAGTTAGGTTCGAAAGACCGCAGAAAAGAGAGTGCATTGGCGGAGTGCTACTGAAGTCCTATGTTCCACTATTAACCCAAGGGACAAATAATAATAACAAAAGTTTGGCTAACCACTTTGTTATTTATTGATGGAACACCGTACTTCTGAATATAAACACAGGCCTGGTAACTGGGACTGAAGTCATCCGACTGGTTCAGGGAAAACTGGAAGTATGCTTGTAATTTGTGTACTGAAGGAATGCAGCAATTCAAAGCAACCTCAGTAACACAGAAGTTTATATTTATAGTAACATGGTCACAACAGCATTGTCATAGTAGGATACGGAGGACTTTCAAGGTTAGTCTAGCAACTACCGAAATAATCAACGTAATTTGTTATTCATGATAAATGCCTTTTACCAGCTTAACAGAAGAAGTCTATTTGGTAGTTTCAGTGGTTGCTACGATGATCTTTAGAGTAACTCGTAGGATGTTGACATTCAAAAGGAGAACCAGAAGGATCATCACTTTTTGCAACTTAGTTACATTTTACATGGGCCGGAGCGGTTTTTTAGCTACCCACCTGTGGTGTCAACAGTATTTTCGTTGGAAACCATCTTGAAGCCAAGATCATAGTGTGTAATCTCTGACAAAGAAGTGTCGTGAATCGGTGAAATATGCTACTAATGAAGTATTTGAATATTTAGAAGCATTCACTTTGATCTGTGGATTTCACCAGGCGTTCAGATTAGAGTGATGTGATCACTAGATGATCGTTTTTCTCGTTTGGGGTCGAGCTCATCAGAAGTATACCCGGACATATTCAACTCAAATAGACGAATTCTTGAGAATACTTGAATCTGATCAGCTGACTTGCAAAGAGTAGTATGCCTAAAATAGGATGATCAGTTTGTGAATGATTTACAAATTGTGATCTGAATGTCAACGTGAACCGTGGACATTTCTCACAGTTGAGTAGTATCTCTGATATAGAATTACCTTAGTGGTTTCCAACTACTCAGGTTTGTCAGTAGTATTATCTTCAGCTAGTTTATGACAATTCTGTATCAGAGATCCCACTATGTGATCTTGTCTATCGAAAATCCTGTTAGCACTTTAGTTGGGCAGTTGAAAAACCATTCAGCTGTAAGCGATGTCAGCAAGAACCGTGTAAATCGTAGATAATTCGTAAATTGATCAACCTAAATAGAGGTACTGCGATCCATCTAAGTCAGCTAGCTAGCTGGCTTCAGGTAACCTGAACAATTCTACACTGTTATCTGAAATTGTTTACGTCCGTCACTCGTGAGTTTGGTCCTAAACGAGCAACAAAACCATCCAGTGTTTAAACCACTTTAATGTAACTACCAAAATCTACTGATCACCGGGTACGGTTTCTGACTACCTATGCTGTTCAGTAATATGTTTCGGTAACCAGTTTCAAGTATACTAGCATAGAACGGGAATAGCCAACAGAATGGTTATAGGACACTTCTACACGTATGACCATCCATCGGTTTCAGCAACTACCTTTACATTCCAAATACATAATGTAAATCGCATTTGACTTTCAATTAGAATGATTTTCTACGTATGTTCAACCATGACGAGTGACTTTAAAGGCCACCCTAGCAATTAATGAGACAGACAATTACATTATTTTATGGAAAAGTACTTTCCCAGGCGATATACCGAAGCCTGATTGGTCATTTCAGCAGTTGCTACGGCAGCCTTTAAAGTCACTCATCCTCACGCTACACCAAAGTGACATACTCTCTACCCTCAAACACCCATGAAATAAGGTAGGTTCGTTAGAAAGCTATAGCAACTAACTGAATCTAAAATTGTATCTGGTTTTAGAAATCATGTTAACACAAAGTATAGGACTTCTAATAATTGAATGTAGACAGGAATTTAAGATTGATTTCACACGGATTCTTCAGTCATGCTTGGCTGCATATTCTTCTGAAAACTACTTTGGTGATCAACATCTTATGTCTTTATGACTAATTAAATCTGCAGATATCATTATACTGCGATTTTGCTGTACTATAAACATCATCTCTATCCATTTCAAAATAGTCTTACCCTCTCCCAAATTCAATGATAATAATAATAATAATAGTAATAATAATAATAATACCAACAGTTACTGAACACTTTAATTTACCTGTAATATCAAAGTCATTAGTAGGAGAGATGACGGAGATTCTTGACTCGATATGTGGATCACTCGTTCTTCTCGGTTCTTTTTCTGTAGCCTGAGAATAATGTTCCTCTGTATCATAAGCTGAAAGAAGGCTATTTCTACGAGATAATATTCGATTTTTACAGTTGGATTCAATGAAATATTTGTTTGAAGGTGTTGATGAGTTGATGTGTTGTTGTTCTATTGTTGTAGTTGATAATTCAGTTTTATTAATTAGTGTATTCTCAGATTCCTTTAATTCTGGTATAATAGAGCAAACTTTTAAATAATTATTAGGAGTTTGTTTATCAGATTTATAACAATTTATTGGAAAGAAAGATTCTCTTTTTGTTTTAAAAAATCCACTTTTTCGAAGTTTTAAAGTAGATTTTTGTGATTTAATATGACATGAACATGGTTGAATATCAGATATAGGAGATTGTATATTTGATGTATTAACAAGATGACAGGTTAAACAATAAAATGAAACTTTATTTGCATTCTCTTGTGAACCACAAATAAAAAATCCTACAGTCCCATAATTGATAATCACATTTTTATCCAATGTTGGTGAAACAGCTAAATAATATTTACTTTCATTGAAATCTTCATCTTCATAATCATCGTCATTCACATTACCATCTTCATCCTCCTTTTTATCATCATCATCATCATCATCATCATCATCAAAACAATCGTATCATTATGGTCAGATGAATTAAAGCCTATTTCATTAGAAGAAGTGAAATCACCTGAAATCCTGTTCACTAACTGTGAATCTCTACTGTCTAGAACTTCAGCTACTACAGCAATTAATAAGAGATTTAAATATTTTCGACAGATAACAGCAGCTTCAGTGAATTGTAAACCATCAAATGCCATAGAAAATTTAGCTGAATAAATTTCCATACTAGCACCACATAAATAATTGTAAACCCAATTATCTGAGTTGAGCACAGTATGAATATCATTATGATAATTATCTATGGATGATTCTGTATCCAATGTTATAGGTGATGCTGTTGACTGTATTGGATATTGTAATGAATATGGTCGAGAATTATCATCTTCTTGTGTTTTAAATAAAGATGTGATCATTTTTGATAGTTTATTCAACCATTGAGTTTTTCTATTCTTTCTTTCAAATAGTGGAAAAGTAGAGTAATGATGATGATGATGATGATTTTCAGGTGTTATCTTTGTTGATACTTTAGATTTACGCATAATTACATTGGGACTTGAGCTAGACACTATTTCATTCAGTGATAAAGATGATTTGATGATGGAATTCTTCAAATTCTGTTGATTCATATAGATTTTTGTAAATTTTGCAGCTTCTTTCAATCCTCGAATAGAATGCATTGTAAATAGATTTGTAACTAGTGTAGAAAATCCTGGAGCTATACAACTTTGTGCTAAAAAGCCTAATTTTAATTCACTGAAACAGATAATTTCATCTCCACCATCCCAATTCCAATATGGACTGTTTAATAGATATGCCTATTTAGAAAAAGACGAAAAAAAAAGGTTCAACATGTTATATTTGTATCAGTTTTAAGTTGATTTTCAAAGATTTGATTAAATTCATGATGTATACCTTTTGATATCTGAATAGTGAACATGATAGAACATTGAATATCTGATACAGGTCCACAGATTGAATCTTCAACTTTCGCTTACAGTGAAAAGTTGACTATTACTGAGTTTTATGATTAAGTTAACTGACAGAGGTTTGTCAATTTATAATATCACTGAACACAACAGCTGACTTTCGAGAGAAGCATACTTCATTTCATATTGTATAAAACAGAAAATGAAGGTGATTTCTTCTATTATTGTTTTCTAAGAAATGACCTTCTTGTTTTTTTCTGGATGCAACAAATGAATCTCGCTTAATTCGGCAATCGGTTCCTTTTCTAATCTTATTTAGTAGCCTGGAATTTGAAAATGAGCCAGGTCCACTGTTCTTACAAATTTTTGTGGCACAGTAAATCTAGCGATTTCCATTCATCCAAGATAGTTAGGATGAACAGTTCGTTGTATAGATTTCCTTTTGTATTCTACCATGCGAAAAAAATGAGTAAACAGTAAGTCGTTTTCCTTCAATACATAAACATAATGCAAACCCTTATGGATTTGTTGGTAAATAAACCAACGATCTCAAATCACTAACTGTTATCCTTTATACTTAAATATTGAAGAATTTCAACTTCAAAAGATGCAGTCAGCCTTAAACCGACTAACTCAGTAACATTGTCAAGGTTTTCATTTGCTAAGTTACTAGCCATATCCTTGAAAAAGGAAACAGGGCACCAGTGATAGCGCCGTATAATATGGTAGCCTAGACACTGGAAACATTTTCAGTTTTAATTTTTATACTACTTGCCATGTGAAGTAGTATAGAAGTTGCATAAAAAATGTAATGACTTGTTACATTACTTATCAAGCTACCAGTAGTGACTTTACTGAAAAAAAGTTGATTTCCCATCTTCAAAATGTAAAAGAATAATAATACTTTATCAGTTGAATGAATCACTCTTTTCGAAATGTAAATTCACCTTGTTTTCTGTCTGCAATAACTGGACAATAACTCTGACATGACTGGCAAAATTCTTTACAGCTATAACACGCATAATATTTGCTGCGTCAGTTTGATAGGGATCTGTTGTCGTGGCAGATGCCAGTATTAAACAGGCATCGGCGCTTTTCATTCTGACACGCTGAAGATCAGCATGATCCATTACAGTCCCCTGTTTTGAAAAGGACAAACAAAAAGTTCACATATATATATATGTATATATATATATATATATATATATATATATATATATATATTCACAAAGAGGTGAAATATACTGTTATGATACTCGTAATTTCCCGTCGCTATTCAGGGCCGACCTGCACGACTTCTGTTAGCAGATGAGTTCCTACGTGGGTACCTCGAAACTGTTGCATATTCATAATCCTGTGTTGATCTTGGTGACTATCAGAGGATTCAAAGACGTGCACTCCATCCCATCTGGGACTTGTCAGCTAGATGTATCTGCACCCTAGAGCAGTTCTGTTCACACTGACTCTCGAACCCAGTACCCCTTCGCTTCAAACACCAGAGCATCATCTACTAACTTACCGGGGCACACTAGTCACCTCTTGTGCAACAGGTATCAGTAACAGAGGTCTAGTGGTTCGGCAGTGTATAACAACAGGAAATTACAGGCATCATAACAACAACCGATACCCATCTCACAAGAGGTGGCTAACGCGTCCAAGTGGCGTTTGAAGCAATGGATACTAGATTCCAGCCTTGGTAGAAACAACATCACTCACTAGGGGGAAAGCACATCTGGCTGATGGGTCCTAAATAGGACGAAACGCGCGTTCTGGGTTCCTGTGTTAGTCACAAAGATCAATATAAGGTGGGATATATTCTTCAGCCATAAAAGTTAACGAAACTCGAATTGTTGGGCCCATAGGCAAACTAACAAAAGGATTTGGAATGTTCACAATAACTCTGAATTCTCCTGTTGTTATAGTGTTCATCCTTTTGAGCAATAGTTTTGAAGAGTATTCACATTGAAAACATCAATCAAAAATTCACAACAAGGTTATTTTATTACATCTAGTCGTAAAGTTTATAAATCCACCTACATGGAATCTGACAAACTGTATTGCCTGAATATTGAGTATCACATGAAATCCAAATAAAAATATGGAGTAAGTAGTGAATTTGTATGATTTTATACCAACTTATACTGAAGGGGACAGAATAATGGTAAGTTTAGACGTCTATTTTTTGTTTCTCTCTCTCTCTCTCTCTCTCTCTCTCTCTCTCTCTCTCTCTATATATATATATATATATATATATATATATATATATATATATATATATATTACATTATGGGGCGCTTCCGTAGACAACACTTATAATTCTACCAGGACTCAGACTCACAACGCTTAAGTCACATTAGATAGATACAACCTTAAAATATATAAATTAATACTTCCCAACAAACCTCGAGCCAAACTATTGCATAGTTCTGACTAGTGACGTGCTTTCAGATGGATATCATGAAATTCTAATGAGAAACCATGACCTATGGGGACAACTATTTGGAAGTGAAGCTTATACCAACTGTATCTACTGAGGACCCTAATGGATAGTCACGCTGTCACAAAATGATAGAAGTAAGGAACTGTAAGCCATTCGACTCCAACCCAATAGATAAATAGACAACGCGTTCACCTAGTGACCTGAAGATCTTTAGTTCAATCCGTGGCAAAGTTGTTGACACGTAACACTTTAGCGTTGCAAACTAGAAAAAAAAACAGCTGTCCAGTGCTGTCACATTTTCAATGGTTCTTTCGCATGTGTATTATTCATTGATTATCATTTTACTGTTTGAGACAGCCGTAGTTTAGCAGACTAGCATTTATACTGGGTAGTGATTGAAGGTGAGATGAAAATCTGGACCGCAACTGGATTTGAACTAGCCACCACTGGGGTTTCCGGTCAGATGGTCTACCAACTGGACCTCGTAGTTCAGTTGGTATAGCATCGGACCGAGAACCCGATGATCACTGGTTCGAATCCGGTCGCGATCCAGATTTTCATCTCACCTTCAATTATCACCCAGTATAAATATTCATTTATTGTCTGTTAGAATCAGTCAGTCACTTGTTCCATTTTGAGATTAAAATAATAATAATAATAATAATAGATTGAACTTCTGTACCAGTTTATTTTGTTTTTCAAGTGATGCAGTAATTAGGGATAAGAGGAATTTACACATGAAAAAGAACATCAATTTAAGTTAAGAGGGGAACTAAACCTGCAGCAATTAAAAACTTGATAAGTGGGGGAAAATAATTATAATTATACATTAAAATTATCATTGAAAGTTAAAGATACATGTTTACAAAAAAAAAACAGTTCATATAATCAAACTCAGTTCTTTGTGACAAATTATAACTGAACGATTTAAGATCTTAGGTATAGAAGTGCTGTAAAAGAAAATCAGGTTACATAATGTTTTATCGAACAGATAACTCTCTAGTTTCACTATCCCTACTGTTTGTGGAAGATGAATTCCTTTCATCTGTGCTTGAGAATTAGGTCAGATGGTAGATAAAAAAAAGATCCCCAAAACCTTAGCCAAAGTTAAGAAACTAGGAGGTAAATTAAAGATGGCAGAAAATTCAAGAGAAATATGATACAAAATTGATTTTGATGGAACTATGGTCTTACAAAAACGTTTCGGGTCATACCTTAATTAGGCTGACTACCAAGGCCCCACATATTTGAGTAAATCCAACTAATGTGTCTCCTTTAAAGAAAGAAATACAGTACACTTTAGACAACTTTATTATGTTCCCGTGTTACATAAAATAGATTTTCGATTTAATCAAAATGTGGAGGTTTGTGGAGATTTATTAATTGATTTCAGGTTGGAATTCCCTCGACTGATGTCAGTCCGTGATGAAATCCTACCTGAAGTTAATTAAAAAAATCTCCACAAACCTCAAAATTGAATCAGTCTAACGCTCATTGGTGACTAGCTTCATTGAAGTGATTTCCAAAGTTCTAATCAGAAGTCGTAAGGAGTGCAGTCAATCAAGTCGAACATGAGGACAGTTACTTAATGATGACATTGGATGTAGGTTACGCTATGTGGTGAACTGACAGAAGTTGGAAATATTGACCATTGGATTCCGAGGTTTTGGCTCATTGGTAACATGTTGGCGACGGAACCTGAAGACCCTGGGTCCGATCCTTGGTGGGGTGGGATGGTGGGTGTGCCCTCTTGAGGAGTCTCATACTAGGATGAGACAACTGTTCAGTACTCCTAGTTACCCAATATTCCCCCAACTGATGCCAGTCCATGATGAATTCTAACCTGAAATTAATCAAAATGTATCAGTTTTGCGGCATACCCTTTTGTTAAAGAGATATGAATTATCTTTCAGTATTCCTGGAGTACCAACCATTGAAGGAATGAGACGTAATTGATTTATGTTAGTTACACATTTCGCTTTGATTATTGTAATGGAGCGAATTAATTGGTCATTGTTAGTAAACTTGTCTCGAGTATCATGTTGATGATATTTACTATGGTGTTTGAAGCGATGGGAGCTGGATTCCAGTACCAGTGGAGATATCACTACCCAATGACATACAGTTACATCCAGCTGACGGGTAACAAATAGGCCATGGCGGGTGTTCATGATTCTACTGCTAGGCATAGCTAAGTAAATAACACCTGGCTGGTAGTTTTTTCTTGAAGATGTGTATTCCAGCTCTGTCACTGCATAGCCTTTTCGTGTTCCTTGACAGAACCATCATTTTACCAACACTATATATTTTAGCTATTCATGCACTTCACTTCTTATATAACTTGCAACATATATACATTATCATTTTGACTATTCTCTGTTAACTGAGCTACCAGGCCGGGGTCGGAAATACAGTGGTCGCTGTTTCGAATCCAGCCGCAGTTCAAATTTTTATTTCACCTTCAGTAATCACCCAGTCTTCTCCTCGATCTATTTGGTGGAGATATACTTAGTGAGGTCTTATTCCACAGGCTATCCATGAAGGTTAAAAGAACCTTAGAGCAGCTAATTTTTATCTACTGTTTTCTAGTCGATGGATTGTGTCCCTGTTAAACAAGGAACAAGTTACTGAGTTTCGTTACTTCCGTGTATGTTCACTGGTTTAATTATTCCTCTGGAGACAGTTATATGGGATGTACAACTAGGCAGCTTAGCCAACATATCACCGAAAACCTACTATCATGTCTAGGAGATAGACATGTTAATTCTATGAGAAGCTCCATTTTCTCGCATCTAGTTGACAGTGGTCACAGAGCAGACAAAAAGAGAGCCTTCATAGTGATTTACCACACCCAACCAAACCTTTCCGATGGAGTTCAAATTCGCTTTTTACATATCTCTAAAGCTATAGGAATTGGAATGAACGATCCGAGGCTTCGTATTCAGAAGAAATTCGTAAGACCTTTATACCTCCCTTGGCTACAGGAAACCTTATGAATGACCTCAGTTATCTACTTTAAGGTGTAATTCTTTCTCCTTTTATTTTATTTCTGTCACCTCGTTCATAAAGCCACTATATTCACAATCAAACTTTATTCACTGCCTTCATCCCCCAGTATTATGCAACCTTATCGCTCTTTTCGAAGCTTTGACCCACTATCTATCCTAACACCTGTTTACATAGTCATGTGTTCTAAACATTCATCTTATCGCTTATAATACGACTAATTCTGTTATTCTGAAGCACACTATCAGTACCCTTGTTACTGTTGACTCGGACGTTTCATCATCATACTAGGGGCCTTGCCAGCATGGCCATTTTTGTTTAAATACTGTTAAAAATCAATTACTTTTAGTAACAGTTACCAGGTAACACTTCTCTATGAAAGGTGGTTTCACAACAGAATATTCTAAAATGGAACATAATGACAAGTTTCATCCCACTTTGAAACACATCTAGGTGTATTTCAAGTCCAACGCACCTTGGTGCCTTCTTTGAGTCCATGGAGTAGCACTTAATCAATCGTCTATAAATAAACTTGGCATTTTAAAAGATGGTTATTTCTTATTTAGCAACTAATTCAGACTAGTCACTTACCCTGAAATATTTCACCCTTAAAAAATGTAATCGTAGTAAATTTTCTAATTGTAAATCTGGTTTCGATCGATTAATGAAGACAACTTCCACATCTGATCTTTGTCTATCTTCATGTAGGAAATCATTTAAAAATGTTCTCACCGAATCCGTTGTAATTTCACCACAGACAACAATATGCGATTTACCTTCTGGTTTCTGATAAACTCCAGAATATTTACTGACATTAAAGAACATATCAACTATTTCTGGTATAGCACTGGCAAATGTGGCTAAAGCGAATAAAATGAATAAGGAAATGAATACTCGACCCAAATGTGTCTGTGGTACAATATCTCCATAGCCAACAGTTGACATTGTTACAATTGTAAAGTATAATGAAGCTGTATACGGTAATGGTTGACTAACATTGTATGCATTAGGTCCAAATAGATTCCCTGTATTCTCAAATAGATTAAAACATCCCGCTCCAGCAAACCATATCGATATGAATAGTGTGCATAATTGACACATACGTAAACTTGATGCTGATTTTATCACATTCAAATTATTTAACACTTCAGGTAGATTGCATAATCGAAAAATCCGTACAAAACGAAATCCAATCCAACTTCTTTTCATGAAAAATCCAATAATTGTCGGTGGAACAGTTAAATAATCCAATATAGAGTACCATTCAATCCAAAACAAAAGTGCATCAGATGATGCAATTAAACGTACAATAAAATGTATTAAAAAGAAGATATTCATTGAAAAGTCTAATGTACGAAATCTTCGACCTTTATGACCGCATTTCTCAATCTCTGATGGCCATATTGTTGCTTCATAGGCATATATACTAAATGACATTAGACTGAATATCATTGATAAAGCAATAAAAATTCGACCAGGTATCCAGTCATAACTGACTAATCGGATAGCTAAACAGCGACCTTGAACAAATATTAACTGAACAGTTGTCCACCATTTAGAACAACGTGTAGATACATGCTTATTATTGTGTTGTTGATCGAATTTCTCCATTATGGTTGAATTGATACGACTTACACCATCAATCTTATCTCTTCTACTATCCTTTACTAATAGGTGATATTCTTTCTCATCTTTATTCCAATCAGGTAGGTTTGTACAAACTGTAGAATGATGACTTTCAGAGTTTGCTGATTTTTTGTCTTTCAGATAAACTGTCACACGTATCAAAATCCTGTAAATTAGTATAATTAGTATTCCACTGAAAAAACATCCTAAAGAAATGGTAAAAAACACACTCCATAAGCGTTTCTCCATGCATTCTTCATGATGATGATGATTTGAGCTTAGATGGGCTCTCTGTTTCTTGCTTTCTGGCATGCTTAGTGTAAATATATCAACTGACAAAATATCGTCAATAAATGGTTAGAATAATGATGCATACAACAGGTGAACAATTAATTATGATACCTAAAAAAATAGATAAACAGTAATTAAGATGATGATTAAATTGCTTAGGAATACTGTACAAATGAAAAACGACATTTAATGAGCTCGATAGACGTGTATATACACAACATCATTGATTGGCTATTTTTCAGGATAACCTTGAGGTGTATCGTTGAGCCAATACGATCACAGATAATCTTATTTATGATTAGATGTAGTAAAAATTGAGAAATTAAGGTTCATCTTACGAATTTAGATAATGTAATTGAAGGACGAAGTTTATCTTGACAATTTGATGCATTTACGCTGTTCATCTTAGACAATCAGTTTATATTAAACCGAAAAAGAGGACGATAAGTAGGATATTTATAATAATGAGGGATTAGAATTATGAACGATTAGGTGAAGAAGGAATGGTAACATTTTATTCATCTTCATCTTCGTAAGAAAACAAAGTTTACCAAGGTAAGTGTAGTGTAAGAACAAACTGTTCCTATACACACAAAACTGGTTTTGATTAACGTATGGTCTCAGAAAGCTTACGTGGACAAAACAGGATATGAATTCTTATAGTTTTTTGTTCAGTTTAAAGCAGGTAGGGTATGTTAAATAAGATCTGTCTTATCAGATGTACAGATACGATGGATGAAAATACAAATCGTGGACCAAAATATTTATGCAGAACCGATATCCTTTGAAGTCTATAAACCGATGTAGAAGTTAGGTAACACCAAAGCCCACTGTATCCAAGATTCTTTAGAAAAGTGTTCATATCACTCCACCATACAGAGGGGAGTTGAATGGTATACTTTTGAGACGTGGGCTAACTTAAGCCATTGACAAAAACATATTATGCAACAAAGCTTATCACTGTGGAAAAGGCAAAACATATGCTTCATAACAAACCTCAACACTATAAATGATTACGTTCATCCCATTGTGTTAATCAGTTTACATATATATATATATATATATATATATATATATATATATATATATATATATATATATACATAGGCAGAAGTAATCGAACCATACAGCTGAGGGTGGGAGAACATGTACCTAATTAAATATTTTCCAAAAAAGACGGACTGTGCAACTATGATAAGCTCAGATGGGAGATAACCCTCAGTGACAAATTTAATGTTCTAACAGATTTCAGGGTCTTATATGGAAACAGTTATATGGAGGTATAACGAGTGGAGAATATTTGTATCTGAAGTGGGTGGTCTTGATTGTATTGTGTTCTCTGAGCTGAGTTGTTTAATCGTGAAGTCTTCATCGTCTTCCTAGACGACATCATCAGAACTAACTGCAGTATGAAGTGAGCTGTCAATATCTCCCCATCAGTGATTCACTAGCTTACCCTGACCAATTGGTTTGTGATTGGTTGTTCACTTTGATTGTTATGTCATTGACTGTCTGAAGGTTCCTCTGACCTTCCTGTTGTTCATCATCTTTCTTATTAGTTGATAAACTGGGTCGATGTCTATACATCTATTGATTACTGACTGACCGATGTGAATGCCAAGCTTCTAAAAATTCTCTGATATCCTTCGTTTCCTCTCTCCGTCCAAAATTTCTACATTATCGCAAGTGTATTCATGTCGATAATTATCCACGTGCATTGAAATGAGTGATGAGTGGTTGTGAGGTTTAGCATCCAACTGGTGTTTATGTAGACGAAAGGGAAGAGGGCGACCACTTTATTCAATGTAGTGATGACTACAGTTACGAGATCAGCTGCAGCTGATCAACTATCAACTAATAAGAAAGATGATGAACAACAGGAAGGTCAGAGGAACCTTCAGACAGTCAATGACATAACAATCAAAGTGAACAACCAATCACAAACCAATTGGTCAGGGTAAGCTAGTGAATCACTGATGGGGAGATATTGACAGCTCACTTCATACTGCAGTTAGTTCTGATGATGTCGTCTAGGAAGACGATGAAGACTTCACGATTAAACAACTCAGCTCAGAGAACACAATACAACCAAGGTATAACGAGATTTGTGCGGAGTGATAACCATTCACAAATTGAAACCATCTTTGTTGCACACAAAGAATTTGTCTTTACACTACACTTATCTTATTAAACTTTGTTTTCTTACGAAGATTGCGATCCCATTATTGAGATAAACTTCGTCTTTAAACTATGCTATATAAATTAATTTTCACAATTCGAGAAGTTCATCGGTGTTTCCTAAGCCAAACGTAGCCGCATTTCATTCAACCACTTTTACTTATCTCTCAATAGTATCGTCCTTCTAGAGTTGTTAAATGCCTTCAAACTTGTTAAGACACAGACTAATGGCAGAAAGTTTCTGTGAAATACACGGTGATCTTCTATGGAAACAAAAATTTTCAAATCATACATATAGTATGGTTTGCTAGACACCAAAAGTGAGGAAATTCATCTCCTTTTCTAGCCCTTGATAGTTAAAACTTGGAATACAGTATGACTCAGGTTACGGTACTTCCGTTACATGTGTAATCAAATACGTTTACTCAAGCCTTCTGTACTAGATTCATCACACTAACTAACTAATGAATGAAAACTGTTTGGATGGCAAAGTTTCAAGTTCTCATTTATCAAGTGCTTGTGGTTTGGATTGTTGTCTAGGAGAAGATTGTAGGACAATACTGACACCTCATCTGAAATATTTGTCCCAACTATTCGATAACGCAGCACTTGGAAGAAATATAGGTGACAGAAACGGCTGTTGTACAACTATATATCAAAGCTGCTTAACATGATCACAGAGGACTTTTCAGGGTTTTAAGGAAGATCTTAACATTGATCATCCACATTTTTTATGACTGATCAATTCGATTGTTGAAGAACATACAAACAATTTATTTTGGAATCTGCCACGATCTTATGAGACTGATGATTCCATTATGAATGCCGCTGGTGCTCATAGAATTCAGTTGAAGATTTTTCTGGAGAACATTTACATTGTCTTGGTTTAATTACTGAACAAAATTGTCAGTTGTCTAATTCACAAAATGTATCCTTCTCTTAGCTATTGATTTCTAGTTCATTTGATCGTCAGGAGTGTATAAGTTGTTGACTGAGAACAGGTTGTCGGATACTTCTATGAAAGTATCTCATCTCCAACAGATCCTGATTGCGTAACAGACAAACCATTCGCAAATTTCAACTTAAAATCTATGTGTGACGAAACTGTACTTGTCTTGTGTGATGACAACTATTTATTGACTTGTTGGGGCAACTATTCCTTAATCTAAATGAGCACTGAGGAAAAACGGGTACAAACATTGTATCCGATGTGTGAAGTGTTTCGATCGTTGACATTCAGTCAGTCACCCGATCAATGTAAACATGGGAACTGACATTACCGAGCATAGACCAAATCACTACATCTAACACCAGTATATTCATATACAATACAGTAAGATTAAAGGATAGAAAAATGGAAAACAAAAGTAACTTACTGTACAAGAAATCACAAGAAGAGGTGACGATAGGGTGAAATAATGACGAAATGTGATATGACAATTAGGGTGCAGATAAGGTGTGTATGCATCACTACCACCGAGACAGATTGTAAATCATATCACATAGAGCCTTGAACCACTAATTTCTGTTGTCATGCGGAATCCAACTGAAAAATCTGAAAGTTCCTGCGTGGCTAAGGTGAATGGTCATTGACTTCAAGGGATGATGCCATGTTTTATCTTTGCAGCCACCAATCTTTAACCAGCCTACACCCACTTCAGCTAACATTATGAGACACGGCAGATGATGACTGAGCATGCGTAATAAAAATTTTAGTTATCTGAGTTGATGAAGTTTCACAACCTCTTCAACTGACTCACCTACTGTGCCCAAAACTCTACCCTTGACTTCTGTTGCTGACATGTTGGCACCACCATACACAACCAATGCTGTGAAGACAACGATAATCAAACATTTGATGGTTTCTGATTTCCTCTGCCTTCCATGATCATGTTTCGCAGCCACAGTGTAGAACACTTAGAACTACAGGACAGTACATTCAGTCCTAATTGACAAAGGGGTATCACGGAGGTGGTACGGGTAACGTAGTTCACATATACCAAACAATCCTTTTGTATCTGCGAGGAGGTCATACCGGTGACCTATGGATTAGGGATGCTCCAACTTTTCAAGTAAGTGAGATGATCAACAAATACCAGTACCGGAGGAGCAGTCTGCATTTAGATGGTGGGTGACAAATCCCAAACATTTTCAAATTGTCACTGAAGAGGCTGATATTTACTAGAAGCTCATACTTCTGTAAAGAATGAAACCAGTATCACATAGAAGCACAGTAGCAAACGCAGTTGCTAGGGTTAAATGTGCTTCTTATTAGCCAAACAAAGTTAATAGGGGTGTAGACCCACCCTAATCCCCTGCAACTGGTGGTAATAGTATAAATTCTATGGACAGAAACCAGCTGACACTTGAACTTACACAATATGAAACGCTACACAAGTTGATCATAAACTTGATCCACTCTCACAAGGATTCAGTCAAACCAAAAAAAATAGTATTGATCTACAATTCATTTTTATGACATGCTATGTACCCTATGAGGAAACAAATACTTCTTTCTCAACGAATTTCGATCAATGTTCAAGATTAGAATAGAGATTATGATTTGAACATGAAGACGAAGATTTAGTGACAGGCATCAGAAGAAATATGTGACGTCTCCGTTTATCAATCATATGATGCGTAAACACTGTTTATATGTAATTAACTGTTCTAGCAAAATCTTTTCAACGACAATACCCTATGGAGTTCTAATAAAGTTACCTGTTACCATGTATCTTTAAAAGTTCTTAATTTCGGACATATTTATAAAAATAAATGACATTTTATAGAATAAAATGTGAACTTTAAATTGCACCATTTGTGTATACTTAAGTCAGGACAAG